TAGAACTTCATCCTCCACGCAGGCGCGGCGGTCGTCATGAACGTGAAAGCCTCGAGCGCCTTTTTCTGCAGTCAGGGCATTCCGGGTGACAGTGTTAATAAAAAGAAAGACAGGGAGATGCGATTGCTTAAACATTATCAAACAATTATAGGAAGTATATCCTATCTCAAAACAGAACCGCGAACAAACTCACCGAAAACAAATGGTCTTGTTCAAGTGTTGTAGGGACCAAGATGCTGCCGTTCTGGTCACGTGGTAACTGCTGCAAGTCGAAAGACGGGATCAGCGCCAAGTTCAGGGTTTGCCTTTGCTCCTCGCCGTTGTTGATGATTTGCTGTCGAAGTGCAACGACCAGAGCGGACAACTCGTCGTAGCGCAGATTGAGCGCTACGTATGCAGCCTCCTTATCGTCCAGGGCGATTTGGAGGTCGAGTGCGCGCTCTTGTGTCAGCTTGAGCGTGGATTGCAGGTCTTCATTCTCAGCAAGAAGACGAAGCTCTGCTTGTGTTCTCACCGAAGCAACTTCTGTTTGTGGAAGAAAAAAACAAGTGCAAGGTGTGGGATTAGACATCGGCAGGCATGGCGAGGAACAAACATGACAATAAATGCATGTTGAGTTGCGGTTGAGCGTGAAACTATACTCGCCAAATACGAACCTTAGTTAAATAACAGGAAAGGGAGAAGACTAACGGGTTCATACCTGTGCGAGCCCGAGAGATAACTGGGAGGCCGTGAGCGTTAAGATGCTCCACGGCCTCTGTGGCGCCTTCTGCTGCGTCTTCTAACGGCCCAGTCAGATTAAGGGCCGAGGGTAAAATTTCTGTTACGGAAGGAAGAGTAGCAGCCGCAGTGACTGGCGGAGCAGGGGTAGGAATAGCTGTTCCACCGTTGTTACTCGTCTCTGCCATGCTGCCCTTTTTGGCTTTCTTACGCAACAACTCGGCAGGCAGGATGCCCTGTGCCTTCATGGCTTGCATCCACTCGACGAGCTCCTGGAACTTCGCGACAGGTTCGTCGGAGTCGCTTTCGATCGCCGTGTCGTCCAGCACTGCACCATCTCGTCCGAGTGTAACCAGACCCGTTTGGTCGTCCGGTGCCAACAATCGTTTCCCGCCACAGGCTGTACCAACCACACCAGACATAACGACGCGTTTGCGACTGACAAGAGTCGCAGACGATAGATGCGGCTGTTTATGGTTAGTGAATGACTATTTTTTTCTCACGAGGTTTGCCACGCAGATGCCTCACCTGTTCCAGCTGGCAGATTACATTGGCGGTGATTGGACGATTCCGTCCTATGCGGAAAGACTGCGTCGTGGCGCTGCGTCGCGCGTCAACGTGTTTACATGGTTTCGTTTTGGCAGCCACGGTATTTTACTGTTTCGCTGTCGGAAATTGAGGTAGTAATGCATCCCTGCCCGTATTTCCGCAGTTTTGCATGTTTCACGCATTTCGTTCATATGGGGATGATTTTTTCGGAAACAAAAATTATTTCACGCGTAACTAGAGATTACCTAACCACAGGAAAATGATGAATGAATGCGTAGTAAAAAACAAAAAGGGCCACGGGCCCATGGCGCGAAGTGGTAGAATTAGGAATCTGGGCCCACAGTCCAACTCACATGCATTCCCTATCGCACGCGAGCAGCTATGTGCTGCGCGTCGCGTCCGGCAGTCAATCTCATCCACCCACCATGGTGGTTCCTTTGTTGTCGCGTGCCACCTCAGCATGTCACAAATATATCCATTACAAACAACAATTTTCCTAACACGATCAATAGTGAAACGAACGACTACATTACAATACAGGCCCTCGTTTTGCACTTTCATGCTTTCTTTCTTGATGAAGCCCTTACTAGGCCCTTAAGGATTTGTTGGTTGTGATCATGCAGCAAACGTGACGACTTGTTTAAATTGTAGAATTGTGTTGTACGCAAAGCGATACGACATTGTCTATGCGTGTATTGCATTAAGTTTCAACAGGTCAATCACTATGGTTTGAAGTGACAAAATGGAATATCCATTATTATCCTACGGGTTACTAGTTTAGAACATGAACTTATTAACTAGCCACACGTCCTCGCATGGCGCAGTCCGGACCAGCTCTACCGCCCGTAGGATACTGGTTACTGCAATCACACTACAGCGTTGAGACGAGTCAGCCCAAGTGAGAGTTGTGCACTTAGTAGCTATGTCTTTGGAGGGGGCTGAGTCATAGTACTTTATGAAAGCATATGGCACCAGCAATCTCCCAATGCGGACCTCAAACAGTATCAGCAACTTAGCATACCATTCGAGAGGCTCTGCATCGTCACCCTCCCCAACAACTGCGATGTTGGAGAACCATGGCCGACCATAGAACATCGGCGCAGCACGAACGTGATGAGGTAGGCGGCTAAATGCCGCATCGATTGCAGCTGGCATGGCCAGCCCGTTGTGGATCTGTGGGTGTAGTTATGGTGCAGGGGAAGGACGGGATAATGAGTATGTCAGAGAGAGAGGGAAGAGTGGTGAAAGAGGGATGAGATGCCACCATTTTGTATAGCAACAAAAGGGGGAAAGAGAGAGGAGGGGGATGACGTGGTAGGTTCAAGGGATCATCTTACGTGGATGGTGTCGATGCTACTTCCCGAGCATGCAGGTGCCTCATTCAAAGCGCCGCGTAGGAAGGGAAGGTCCACAGATAACGCCGTCAAGAACTCGCTATCTCGGTCAGCATCAGGTGTCAACGGCACCACGAAGGGTGCCACTAGCCGGTTGGCAGGGACCAGCAGCCTCCAACTCTCTCGAGTCATCACCCTTTCCCCCGTCCGTTGAGCCTGCAGGCATGATCGTGTATTATAGGAATGAGTGGTATATCTACGAGGTGGAAGGTGTATGACCAAGTCAACTATGAATAAAGTAGGACTCACCTCAACCATGCACGTGTCGTAGGCTTTACGCTTGCCGAGAACTGGTGCAATGGAGTCCAGGCGCAGACGCATCACCTCACTATTCATGATCTGTGCAGTGGCCGTGCGCCGGTTCAATGCTCTGTAAGGGTTCTTGATGTACTCGATGTGCAGGTGCTCAAACATCTGCGTAGAGTAGTGCTCTGGCAAGCCAGCACGACGGATCGAGTCAATGTAGTGGCTAATCAGGTGCATCTTGATGAAGCGCCACTTTGACGTCTGTAGAGGAAAGGCTGATTTGAGGGTGAAAATCAACCTGCCATACAATGGTGATGGTGGGGGAAGATATGTTTGAGCAGAAAGGCATTGGCTAGAATCCCATAGTGGTAGTCTTACATGTGCAACAACATATTGCATGCACGCGCTGCATAGTATAGTAACACATGGACATACCTTTCGGCCTTGTGCTTCAAATCACGCAGCGTCTCTGTCGTATGCTCACTGGCGCGGGCACAGTAGGTGTACCAGTCAATGTAAGTTGCAATCGCGTCCATCTGCGCCTGAGGGACAGTCGACTCAAAGCCACGCACTAGAAAAGGAAGGACTTGCATGACACTCCTATGCTCATACGCCTGATAGCTCGCGCCTGAGGAGAAATACTCGCCCCCAGGCAGGCGCATGAACGGGTTGCGGTTGTGCTCCCGCAAGTAGGCTATTCTCTCGTCGGCCTCTTTTTTTTTAGCGATGGTGAGTTGTGTACGGAAAAAGTCAATGATGTGCACAAGAATTCCCAAATCTGCCTGGTGCATGATATCAGGCATGACGCTCAAATAAGGGTTCAAAATAGGAATAGATGACCAACGCCAACCCCACAGAAAACAATTCACCGGATGTGTTGACATGCTTGACACGCCTTTCGGAAACAACCGCATTTGCAAAAGCGAGGTAATGCCCTTTTGCAAGTGTGGAGTACGAGGGACAATGCGAGGCGGTAGTTTGTTGGTCTCAGCAACAGGGACTGTGCACAACGAGCATGGGAAGCCTGTGGCCCCCGATTTTGTGCAAGTCACCTTGCACGACTCAGGATAGTCACATGCGTATGCGTACAAACCAGGCCACGCGTTGTACGTGGCACCAGTAGGGTCCTGGACCCTCACTCCGGTGTGTGAGGCCTTTCGCAATGGTTCCATGACCATTGAAAGGATGTGTTGGAAGACAATCAACTTGTCTAGCGAATCGTACTGAGGCGTGAATTCAGGAAGCAAAGCAAGCAGTACATGGCCCCATGGCTTCCAACGGTCATGCTTGTCGATGTTTCCCAGTGTCAGGTACACTGGATGACCCTTGGCCTTGCCTCTTTGGTCCATATGTGTCTCGTTGCTCGACAATATCAGAGCAACCACGACCCCGTCCGGGTCCACTTTTTTGACCTCATTGTGCAAAGTAAACCACCAATCCCCGGATTCGGGTGATGAGTACACATGTGTCTCACCGGGGATGCGCGACGTGGGTTTAAGAACGAGTTTGTCCGCATTCTTTGGATGTGTCAAAAGGTCAATCATCCCAATGACACCATCACAAAAAAAGAACTCTAACGAAGCTTTTGACTGTACGCGCACAAGATCTCGTCTCCAGTTACGGTGAGGATCTGGGATGCGTTCATCGACGTATTTTTCAACGTCTCGCGCATTTCCGAAAACGACAACGTCGTCATTGAACTTTGAACCAAGGTTCAAGATGAGGAGCAACTTATCAATAGCACTTTTGGACAGATTGGAGGTAAGGAGGAAATGAGCGAATGCATCTGCAAAATTGAATATGTCGCTCTCACCTCCTGATGCCGCCCCACCATCCCCTACGCCATCACCTTCAGCCCTCTCCTCTGTGTGGGTTTCGGGCTCAGGAATGGTGGGGACTGAAGTAGGAGGAGGAGGTTGCGGGGTGTCAGGCATGGGTGCAGTTGCTGTGGGTATGTTCAACATAGGCCGTGGCATGGTAGCTTGCGTGGTGCGTGGAAGTTGCATGGAGCGTGAAGATTCAGCGGTCGCAGAACGATTTGCGGCGGTGGCTCTGCACGTTTCGCCATTTTGATGGTTTGTGAGCGGACCCCTACCAGAGAACCCGGCAGCTCCGCACACTCCGCAATTGTAAGCCATCTGCTATAAGAAGAGATGGGAGGGTGGTGGTGAGGGGTGGGCGGAGGGGTGGTGAGGAGGGAGGAGTAATGAGAGACTGCTGAGGGTGGAAGGATCCCTGAACGAAGGAGCGGGGGGAGAAGGAGGCAGTTGAGTGCACACAGCCAAGGGTATCAGGCAGAGGGAAGGCAGGGGGCTTACGAGGGCGGCACAAGCTTACGAGGGCGGCGGGTGTAAGAGATGGTGACGGGGGAAGGGTGGGAGACGGGGGAAACCGGGGGCGACGGGTGTATGAGAGGATGACAGGGAAAAGGGTGGGAGACGGATGGAAACGTGGGCAAAGGGGGAAGGGGTGGGTGACGGGGAGAAACGAGGGCGACGGGGCAGGAGTAGGTGACGAGGGCGGGGGAGCAATGGCGGGGGGTGTACCAAAACCGACGGGTGTACCAAAAGCGACGGGGGAGCCAAAGGCGGGGGTCAAGAAAAGGCGGGGGCGGAAGGGGAGGGCGAGAGGGGAAGGAGCTGGCGACGGGGGAAAGCAATGGCGACGGTGTGTAACAAAGGCGACGGGGGAAAGCGAGAGCGACGAGGAGTGTGCGAGAGCGACGGGGAGGGTAAGGACGACGGGGGAAAGGGAGGGAGACGGGGGAAAGCGACGGCGACGGGGGAAGGAGTGGGTGTCGGAGGCAAGAGAGAGCGACGGGAGATGGAGTGGCTGCGGGGGAAAGCGAGAGCGACGGGAGAAGGAGTGGGCGGCGGGGGAAAACGAGGGCGATGGGGGAAGTAATGACGACAGAGGAAAGGGAGGGAGGATGACAGAGGAAAGCAAGAGCGACGGGGGACGGTGACAAGTGTGGGCGCCGGGGAACGCGTGTGCGACTCGGGAAAGCGTGGGGGACGGTGACAAGTGTGGGCGACGGGGTAGAGAAAGGGCGACGGGGGCAAACGAGAACGACGGGAGAAGGAGTGGGCGGCGGGGGAAAGCGAGAGAGACGGGGGAAGGAGTGGGCGGCGGGGGAAAGCGAGAGCAACGGGGGAAAGCAATGACGACGGGGGAAAGCGAGGGCGATGGGGGAAGCAAGGACGACGGGGGAAAGCCAGAGGCAACGGGGGAAAGCGAGTGCGACGGGGGAAGGAGTGGGTGACGGGGGCAAACGAGAACGACGGGAGAAGGAGTGGGCAGGGGGGGAAAGCGAGAGAGACGGGGGAAGGAGTGTGTGGCGGGGGAAAGCGAGACCGACGGGGGAAGCAATGACGACGAGGGGAAAGCGAGGGCGATGGGGGAAGCATGGACGACGGGGGAAAGCCAGAGGCGACGGGGGAAGGAGTGGGCGGCAGGGGAAAGCGAGAGCGACGGGGGAAGGAGTGGGCGGCGGGGGAAAGCGAAAGCGACGGGGGACGGAGTGGGTGACGGGGGCAAACGAGAACGACGGGAGAAGGAGTGGGTGGCGGGGGAAAGCGATAGAGACGGGGAAAGGAGTGGGCGGCGGGGGAAAGTGAGAGCAACGGGGGAAAGCAATGACGACGGGGGAAAGCGAGGGCGATGGGGGAAGCAAGGACGACGGGGGAAAGCCAGAGGCGACGTGGGAAAGCGAGTGCGACGGGGGAAGGAGTGGGTGACGGGGGCAAACGAGAACGACGGGAGAAGGAGTGGGCAGGGGGGGAAAGCGAGAGAGACGGGGGAAGGAGTGTGCGGCGGGGGAAAGCGAGACCGACGGGGGAAGCAATGACGACGAGGGGAAAGCGAGGGCGACGGGCTAAGGGGAGTGTGAAGGGGGAAAGCGAGAGCGACGGAGAAGGAGTGGGCGGCGGGGGCTCCATGAAGCTAAATAACTCACCTTCTGAGATCGCCACTTCAAGGTGAATGAACCACCGGCTGGAAAAAAGCTCGCGGATTAGCCGCCACCAGTGGCCGCAAGTGTAGCCTAACCCCAACTTCAGTACTTCAATCGCAGCTAACCGCAAGAAATTGTTGCGGAGGCGGAATGCACGGATTTTTGGACCACAGTTTGGGAACATGGACGAATTTGGAATTCGGAATTCCAGACACAAGACTTCGAGCAGAACTGATGACTGAGTTCCTTGCCCCCTAAGCAGGCCTGTCGATAGGTTTGGGGCCAAAGCGTGGGAGTCTGTGGTGCCTAAAACTCTGCCCTCAACCCGACGGGCTGATACCCAACACAACGTTTAAAAACAGGGGTACAAAGTGAAACGCCACCTTTGCTAAGAACTGACAAAAGGTGCCCTTTAAACAACATCCACCTTAATACAATGGCAGGGTGTGTTATCAGTTCGCAGGGAAATGCGATATGGCCAGGACTAATACTATGCATCCGGGTTAGGCAGCTAAACATCACTTAGGCGGCTAAACATCACTTAAGGCATACGGGCTACCCACTCGAAACCAAAGCGTGAGCACTTCAAACTGACCCGCGACCAAACCTGAATGTTACAAAGCGACACGGCTGGTCAAACGCGGGTGAACGAGTGAGAACGCGCCAAATCACCCAAATGTGAACTAGCGCGACTCGCGAAAAATCGCGCAGCGTCACCAAACAGCATTGACAAAATTGTGGCGGGAAACACACGTGTCAACCAACGTATTCAACCTGGTCGTGTACGACAAAACAAACGGACGCGTTGCATAGTAACATACTGTATGCACAATACAAGAACAATCATAATAGTTAAATCCATAGTGCGAATGTCGAAAACCAGTGCGTAGTGTCTGGAATTCTAAAACAAATTACCTGCATACTGCAGATAACATAAAACACATGTAAAACAGAAAACCTGCACACAATGTAAACGAGCCAACGTATATCGGTTAAAGTGAAAACTGAGAAGCAAGGAGTCAGAAAAAAAAAAAAAAACACGATGTCCCAACACTACAGGACAAGACAAATGCCACATGCAACGAAATGTGAAACCTGTAACCAGATCGCGACACCCGCGACTTCAAAACAAACCAGCCCTGAATGGGCAAACAGTGGCAAAGTTACGAAGGGAGAGTACGTGGCACAATTCACGGCTGTGTCTCATCAAAACCAGCTCGACACGGACCTGACCCTAAACTGTCGAACCTCGGCCGTTCCAGTCAGCCCAATGAATGGTAGATTGAGACAGAAAATAAACGATCAGTCGTCAGTTTCGATAATTTCTAGTTCGACCGACACATCCAGCAGGAAACCTATGGTTTCCATTTGCCCCCCCCCCTCAGAGGACTCACGGGCAAATCCCTCGGGCCTGTGTTTGGCTAACCAGGGATTTTTCCGATGGTAACGCCTACCGTGTCCAACTGCTGAAAACGCGTAGAATCAAATTGCACGTATTAATAACTCACCTAGGACCATTCGTCGTTTACTGAGAGTCGCCTGCCTGTCCATTATCGTTAAGATCGCACCTGGCCAGTTCTTTCGCAGTAGGATGCGTCGGATGCGGCCGTGCTACTTTTCTGCGATCGTCCTTCCAGCAAAAGCAACGGTTCCAGATTTCTTTATCCGATGAATAGATGGTGCTTTTTTAAAGTTAGATAAAGCCAGGTGAGCGACAATCACGATGCTGTACTATCCACTAGGACTTTACAGTACCCTGGCAAATTTTTATGAGTTAGTTTTGCAACAGTAGTTGCTGTTGGAGGCGTTACGGTGGTAACGCGAGAGTCGTTAGGGACGGGCAGGCGTAGCTGCAGGCATCACGTGATCGACACCAGGCCAGCAGCAAGAGAAGGCAGCCCAAATTTCAGCCGTTACCATACTGACAAACCGACGAGATATTTCAAGCCAGCAAAAAACAACGCAAGGGTGACAGAGCAGGACACGCATGCAATGGCGGCTGCTGTAAATACCACAGGCTCCGCCGCCCAAATGCGCCTGTACTGACTGAACATCACAAATCTCAAGTGCTGATGGCTGCATCAGCCAGTGTGTGGTCCAGTTAGTTAGGACTCATAGTAGCCTCTACTAGACCCTAAAATAATCCTGTCGCTGGTCAAGGCCCCCCTTTCCTTCAGGACTCATAGTGGTAGAAAATGGGCCTGACATGACCGGCGGGGGAAGGGAATGGGCGGGGGGAGGCGGGGAACCGGCGGGGCGTGACATGACCGGCGTGACGTGAAGTGCGTCGTTCCTGAAGGATCGGCGGTGCCAGCGTATGCTGACGCGGAACGCTTGGAAAGCAGCTCGCTCGCACCCACGATGTTGTGAGATCGGACGCACCAGTGGGAAAGCGGCGAGCAAGATCTAGGAATCGCTCGCTTTCCCCCGTTGCCTGAATCCGAAGCTTGATGCGAATGAGATTCGCACACTTCAAAGGAATTCGTTCCATCAGTCTTGAGAAATCCTCCGTCCAATCCGGATTCCTGAACCCACTTCTTCCTTTCCCGGTTGAACGAGCGTACTGTTTGAACGCATCGGCGATTGTATTTATGGTAAATAGTTGTCTCAAATCTACTGAGTTTTTCAATAAAGTCCTTACACCAGAACCACAAGCTTCAACGTCCCTTCTATGCATCCTCGTCTACTTCAGTACTACTTATAGCTAGGCTTGCAAATACCTCCTGCGTCCAGGAATTCAGCTTTGAGCAGACCCACAACTAATAAGATCCCCTCCGTCCCACTCCATTGCTCGGCTACCTCAGGAGCACAACGTTGTGCACAAGGGAAGAATCCGATGTCGTCACTTAAACCCAAAGGAGTGCACGGTACCCCTGTCAATGCCGCTGGCAGGAGCAGCACAAAAATGATTCATCAAGATGATGACTGTGATGGAGCGGGTGGCAGGGATTCCGCCACAAGCAGGCCGGTGGCCGGTGGCAGGCATGGCCCCGCGCAGCACTTGGGCGAAGAAGCTTGTGAGAGAGCACACGTGGGAGCTTGGGAAAGAACCCGCTGACTCTGATTGGACGCCCAATAAGCTGCCAGCGTCCTCTGATCCTGTGGTTCGGGAGCCGGAGCCGGAGCAGCAGAGCTCAAAGCTTGGGAGAGACCCTCTGGAGACTAAATCACTAAAACGGAAGCGGCGGAAGATCGATTGGGATGTTGCTGATTGTCAAGATTATCACGGTGATGGCGTTTGCATGAATGATGCTGTGGTTTTTTTCGTTCCAGTGGCAAGTCAAGGCACACGGCTGTCAGTCTAACAGAATTTCCTGCCCAGCAGAGTGGTAGCTGCTGCGACACAGGCCGAGAGCGGAGGGACGCTGATGGAACTAAAGAACAGTAGCAAAGGCCTCTCGCCCCATCAGCCTTCTGCCAGCTGCCATGGTGCACGTGCAGCCCTGCCAGAGCTTCGCTACCACAGCAGCCGTGGCACCGCCAGTGCAACCAATAGTATCTCGGCCGGGTCCAGCTGGGCGGCATACTTCCACGCCAAAATCTCACAAGGGCTGCCCCTGCCCCTGCCGCTGCTTCAGGATGGGACGCCCCAGCTGCCCTCGCCTCTGCCTATGCTCGTCACACGGCTGCTTGAGCCGCCTGATTCGGTCAATCATGGCGGTGAATGTGAAGCGGTGGGCCGGAGCGCAACTGTGGAAGCGCCGTCAGCTGGAGTGACCTTGAGCCGACCAGCGCCTGAATTTCCAGACGTGAGTCAAGACGGGGTGGTGGGTTCATTCTCCCTGATCTGAACCTGCCTGCTGCTGGTGCTGACAGTGCCGTTGTTGGTGGCACTGGTGCTGCTGCTGCGTGCGACGGTGATGGTGATGCTGCTGATGGTGCTCGTGATGGTGTTGGTGGGCTGGCATTCACAGAGAATGAGAGCCTCCAGTCCGCATGTGAAAGCAATGGACCGGATGCCATGGCTTCGGCACATGCGGTGGTCGCATCTGAGGTACATTCCTGTGAATTCCAAGGTGCTGATTTGGGTGTTTCGAATGGCTCTCGATCCATCGAGATGCAACAACGGCATCAGTGGGAGTGGCAACTGCAACAGCAGCAGCAAAGGCAGCAGAATTGGCAGCAGCAACAATGGCAGCAGCAAAGGCAGCAGCAACGTCAGAAGCAACAGCAGCAGCCAAGGCAGCAGAATAGGCAGCAGCATCAACAATGGCGGCATGAGCAGCACCAGCAACAACGACGGGAGCAACAACAACAATGGCAACCACAAGATTTGACCGGGGAGTGCACGACACAACAACAGACACCTTACAGAGGCGTTTTCACCATGGAGCTTAGGAAACAACTCATAAAGTGTGTCATGCTTTATAGAGCATCTAAAAACTTGCTATGATTGCAATGATTGATCCCGTGCTTTTCTTGTGAGGTGCCGCTCTTCTCCAGAAAGGATGTGCTTATCCAGGAAGCTCTGTCTTTCAATCCACCACCAGATTGTTTATTGCCATGATATACCAACACTACGCCTCCCCCCCCCCATGCAACCAACCCTTGACTACTCCCTCAAGACATGCACGCATGCATGCATCACACGCACGCACACAGCTCGCGCAAAGGTGGAACTGTTGACACCTTAAAAAAAATATTTGGTTGCTTTACCAACAATATAGCCCTGTACACCATGCCCAGTATTGATTGAAATTCAATAAGACCATACCTGTCAGTTGTTTGTTTATTGGCATGAGTAGCATTTATACAAGAAATGCACGTGTATAGCGTGTATCTAAACCATCTGAATGAGTACCGAGCCGTGAGCCAAAGGGGGATTTCAACCAGAGCCGTGAGCCAACCAGAACATACAGTACAGCCTCCTCAACTGCCCACCCGAGCCTGCTACTACTACACAGTACTTGAGAATCTCTACTCGACTGGATTCAATGCTAGGTTGAATCTGCAGCTTGATGCAGCGCCATGGCTATCGCTGTATCCTGCCATTCCTACCGTGTTCAACTGCTGAAAACGCGTAAATGCAACTCGCGCATTTTTATTGGGAATCGCTCTGCCTGTCCATTGCAGTGTCGTCAAAATTGCTCTTGGTCTGCCCTTTTACGGTAGCAAGCGTCGGATTCCGGATAGCAATTCGCAATCGTTTTCTCAGCAAATAGCATCGCTTTCCGGATTCCTTATCAGTACATAGATGGTGCGTGTTAAGAGTTGAATCAAGCCAGCTAAGCACCAATCCGCATGAATGTTAGTTTACCCTTACACGCTTTTATTAGGTAATTTAGCAACAGTAGGGGCTGCGGGAGGCGTTTCAGTGGTACCACGAGGGTTGCTGGAGACGGACAGGCGTAGCTGCAGGCATCACGTGAACGACACCAGGCTAGCAGCTAACAGACAGCCCAAACTAGCCGTTAGTGTTACCGACGAAGCGACTGGATAGCAAGAATCCGCAGAGCAGAACGCGCATGCGATGGGAGCCCTGATGTACGCCAGTCCCCGCCGACCAATTCCGGATCTGCGCTTCACAGTGCTAATCTGGCCGAGTCATGATTGTTTCTGCTCTGTTATTTAGATGACTCTAAACCCTAAATGGACCTGTTTCGCACGTCAAGCTCCCCAAGTCTACCCCGAGGCACTCGTCTTCCCACGCCGCACTTATTGCGGGGAAGGAGCAGGAGTGGGGACCGTGACGTGACGCGATCGGCGTGACGTGAAAGAGTGGTTCCTGAAGGCTCGGCGGTGCCAGCGTGGCATCATGGCACAGAGCGCTTTTAAGCGAGGAAGCGAATAGCGAGGTGGAAAGCATCTCGCTCGTTCGCACCGATGATGTTGCGAGATCAAACCCACCAGTGGGAAAGTAGGCACAATCTAAGAACCACTCACTTCCCCCGCTGCCTGAATCCGGAACCTGATGCGAATGAGATTCGCGCACAAGCACTTGATCGACTCCGTTCCATCAGTCCTGTGAAATCCTCTATCGAACCCTAAATCGGGGCCTGGTTCACGAACCCACACTCGGACAAGAGCGTACTTCGAGAATTAATGTTGAAGCGCATCGAGAGTATTGATGGTGAAATGGTGGAACATGCCTACTGAGTTCCCATAAATGCCTTATTAGGACCAAAAGGTTCCAACGTTTCTTCTAGGCACCCGCGTCCACTAAAATGCTACTACTAGGCATGCTAGATACCTCAAAAGTCACTGCGTTAAAGTATTCAGCTTTGCAGACCAGGTACTACTAACTACTAACCCCCTTCATCTCACTCCATCATTGCTAGGCTTACTACCTCAGGAGCGAGCGCATACCTTCGCAAAGAGGAGAATTTGATGTCGTCATTTGAACCCCACTATGGGCTGCACGGTACCACTGCCGATGCCATTGGCAGGAGCAGCTCCAGCATGATTTCTCAAGACTCTGTGCGGCGGCATCATGATGACTTTGATGGAGCGGGCGGCAGTGACTGCGGCGCAAGCAGGCTGGTGGCAGGCATGGCCCCGCGCAGCCCTTGGGCGAAGCAGCTAGTTAGAGAGCACACGTGTGGGGGCTCTGATTGGACGCCCAAGGCATAGAGGAGGCTGCAGCTGCCAGCGTCCTGTGATCCAGCGACAGCAGAGTCCAACCTTATGCCTGCGAGAGAGACCAAGCCTCTGAATCGGAAGCGGAGGAAGAGGTTTTTGAATGATGCTGATCGCCCTGATCGTCATGGCGATGGCGCCGGTTGCGTGGATGATGCGGTGATCATGGGGCGTTCCAGACGATTGAGACGCCTGAGAAATGGTTGTCGCATGACTGGTGAGCATGATGCCGCAGTGGTGATGAGACGTTCCAGTGGCAAGTCAAGGCGTCGCTCTGCTGCTGTCAGTCCTGCAGAAACCCCCGCCCTGCAGATGTTTCATTCAGTGTTTGTCTGCATGCCCGTGCTGCAGGTCCTGCACCATGGCTCTCACTGCCTTGCTGATCTGCTCCAACCGAGTTGCTCCCAGCACCATCTGCGCCTCCCCCTCTCCTCCGGCTGCACCCACGGCAGACGTGTCAATTGCTGCGCCTCTTGCTTCGTCCACCAGGCTTTCTGACAGCAGCCGGTGCCTTGCTGTGTCCTGCAAGTGGGGGGACACGCGGAGGAGGATGGCAGTAGGGAATGGAGATAAGCTAAACTCAGAATTTGAGCCAGTGCCTTGCTGTGCCCTGCAAGCGGGGGACAGGCACCGGATTATGAATCAGGGAGTGGGGAAAGCAAGTGAACTCGTTATTGCATCTCTTGCATTGTCAACCAGGCTTTCCATTGCGCGTGGGGAAAGAGGTGAAGGAGGATGATATCAGGGACTATCCAGCAAACGAATCACTCTCTTGCATCTGGAACTGTCCACTTGACAACAGGGCCTGCACACAGGGAGACAGTCGAAGGAGTGGTAAAACATGGAACAATCGAGCTCATTTTCTTCCTCTTGCTCCATCCACCAGGCTTTTGAACACCAGTCTGTGCCTCGCTGCGTACTGGATGGTGGGAGAGAGGGGAAGACACATGATACCAGGGACTATGCAGCAAAAAAAATCACTGTCATGCCTCTGGACTCGTCCAATTGACAGCAGCCGGTGCCTTGCTTGCTGCGTCCTGCACGCAGGGCGACAGTTGAAGGAGTGGTAAAAAGTTTCCAGTGCCCCACGACTCACCACTTGCTGTGAGCCCGGTCCTGGTGCTCTGCCGATTTATCAGTTGACTCAGGCATTGCTCATGTCTCACTACTCACCACTTGTTGCTGAGCCAACTTCCCAGTCGACTAGAAAAATGGCTGTGCCTCACTGCTCACCACTTGCTGCTAAGCCAATCATCTCAGTCGACAAAAAAAAATCGCATGTCACATGACTCACCACTTGCTGCTGAGCCCGGTCGCAGGCGGCTTGAAAGAGGTCCACTCGGCTCTGAAACACCTCCAGCGCTGATGCTATCGCCACCTCACTGCGTGGCGCACTGGAGCTGCTTATAAAGAGGACAACGATGGAAATCAAGGAAGTGTTCAATGTCCAATGATTTGGGGGATAAGGAACAGAATGGGGCAAAAGGGAACGGCAAAATTAGTGAGAGTAGGGCAAGTTAAGCGGAGGAGAAGGGGATTAGCCTCAGATGGTGCAGGACCAGCAGCATGGGCATGCAGTGAAGAGCTGAGTTGCAGTAATGTACTCTTAGATCACTGATTTGGGAGGGCAGGGATTGTGCAAGCTATGCTGCAGGACTAAGCTAAAACTGAAAGAGTCATGGCGCAGAGTCTGCAACAAGTGCCCACAAGTGTGCTCGCAGATGTGCTATGCCATCAAAAGCAATAATGCATGGTCAAGAACTTGTTGGGATGCTAACACCTATGATTCGTTGTTGGGGGTCGCTTGTTTTAGAATATCGTGGAAATTTATGAACAGCCTTGCAGCTGATATCTAGTATAGATACAAAGCACCACAACTAGACAACTGCACATTTAAGCGCCGGGGGTGAAGTTGGTGGCATAGGCCCAGGCGTTGTTCACGGTGGGGTCAGCCAGGTGGTCGGACAGGTTCTCCAGGGGGCCCTTGCCAGTGACGATGGCCTGGACGAAGAAGCCGAACATCGACACCATGGCGAGGCGGCCGTTCTTGAGCTCCTTCACCTTCAGCTCAGCAAGGGCATCGGGGTCGTCAGCCAGACCCAGGGGGTCGAAGGCACCGCCGGGGTACAGGGGGTCCTCAACCTCTTGGAAGCCCTCGAGGCCACCCACGCGGTAGCTCTCGACGGCACCCATGAGGATGACCTGGGTGGCCCAGATGGCCAGGATGGACTGCGCGTGGATCAGGCTGGGGTTGCCGAGGTAGTCAAGGCCGCCCTCGGAGAAGATCTGGGCACCGGCCTTGAACCACACAGCCTCGCCGAAGTTCACGCCGTTGCCGGCGAGGAGCTCTGGGGTGAGGCAGCCGAGGGCACCGAGCAGAGCCCAGCGGGCGTGGATCACCTGAAAGAGAACGGAGGCAAAAAAGGGCCGGCAATGGTTAGATCCCGAGTCAAAGAGTTGGCGACGGTGACAGCAGAGATGGAACGGAATTCAATCAGAAATTACGAAATTGCCGACAATATGACTCGTTTACATTTGGTGTAAGCAACGCACCTCCAGCTCGCGGTTCTTGGCGAAGGTCTCGGGGTCAGCGGACAGACCCGCGGTGTCCCAGCCGTAGTCACCGGGGTACTCGCCGGTGAGGTAAGACGGGGGGGAGGAGAACGGGCCCAGGAACAGGTTGCGGTCGGGGCCGTAGAAGGCGCTGCTGGAGGCCGCCTTGGCGGTCTTCCTCATCGTCACACGGGCATCGACATTGTTCACCTTGGCGGCGAGCTCAGCGCTCTGGCCGACGAAGGTGGACGAGAGCACAGCGGCGTTGGCGAGGGCGGCCATTGTCGACTGCGGAAAAGTGTACAACTAGAAAGTTGTGTAGGAACCTGGGATGATTCTGTCGCTGACTTGAGAATTGTGGGAAGACCAACAACATTTGAATAATGGCGAATTTCGAACGCTACACACGGCAAGAGCGGAGGGACGTGGATGGAAGTGAGAAAAGCAGCAGAAGCCTCTCAACCCGCCAGCCTGCGGCTAGCTGCCCGGAGGGACGCGCAGCGCTGCCAGAGCTTCACTACCACAGCAGCCGTGGCACTGCCAGTGCAAGCAGCAGTATCTCGCCTCGGCCTAGCTGGGCGGCGTACTTCCACGCCAAGCTCTCCCAAGGGCTGCCCCAGCTGCCCTCGCCGCTGCCGCTGAGCCTCGCAGAGCTGCTTGAGACCCGTCAGTCGGTCAACCAAGGTGGTGAATGCGGAGTGGTGGGGCGGGGTACAGCTGTGGAAGCGGCGTCAGCTGGAGCGACCTTAGACCAACCTTTTTAGAATTCTCAAATGTGCGTCAATCAAGGTGGTGAGTGCAGAGTTGTGAGCCGGAGCACAGTGGTGGAGGCGGCGTCAGCTGGAGCGGCCTTGAGCCGACCAGCGCCTGAGCTTCCAGACGCTAGTCGGGGCGGTGAGTTCATTCTTCCGGACCTGAACCTGCTTGCTGCTGAGGCTGATGCTGATGCTGATGCTGGTGATGGTGGTGACGCTGCTGCTTGCAACACTGCTGGCGATGCTCCTGGTGGTGCTGCTGCTGGTGGTGGTGGTGATGTTGTTAGTGGGCCGGCATTTGCAGAGCACGAAGGGTTACAGTCCGCGTGTGCAAGCAGTGGATTGGACGGCATGGCATCGGCACATGCGGTGGTCGCATCTGAGGTGCATTCGTGTGAATCACAAGGCACTGCTTTGGGTGTGGTGAATGGCTCTCAGTCCGTTCGGGTGCAGCAAAATCAGCAGCAACGGCAGCCGCAAAGGCAGCGGCAACGGAAGCATCGACTGCGGCCGCAACAGCAGCAGGAACAACCACAGCATCAACGGTTGCGGAATGAGCAGCACACGCAGCAGCACATGCAGCAGCTACAACAAAGGCACCAACAGGACCAGACGCAGGAGTGCACAGCACAACAGACAACTTACAGAGGCATTTTTACCATGGAGCTCAGGGAGAAACTCATAAAAATAACCATGCTTTACAGAGCATCTAGAGCTTGCTTTACTAGCAGTGGTTGATTATCATGCCCTTCTTGCAAGGTGTCACTCTCCTCCAATTGTAACAATCCTCTACCAGAAAGGCTGTGGGTATCCAGAAAGGTTGCTCATATGTAGTTGCAACCACCATATTGTGTCTTCTTGCCCTGATTGTTCAGTGGCATCTTCATTAGTGCCGTTTTCCCTCGGGTAGACCGTTCCCCCCCCTCCCCCTCTCCTCCACTCCCCCCCCCCCCTCTCCTCCACCCCCTCCCCCTCTCCTCCACCCCTCCCCGTCCATCCGTGGCATGACATCGTTGTTAACTTTGGTGTTGACACTTGCAAAATGCATAAATAATTGGTGAGTAGAAGTAGAAGCTGATGTGAGCACTGCCTAACGATAAATATGTGGCAGAAGAGTTGGTATCAGTTGTTGGAAACAATCGGTCCTAAGCGCTTCTGTCGTGTCGAAACACTAAGGCACAAGCGAAGCAGAGCATATCGAGGCACCAGCGAGTCAACCCTCGGAGGTTGAAGTAACCGCTGGAGGTTACGCGAAAGTCAAAGGTCAGCGACCTTTGACCTGACAAGTACAGCGCGACAGCAAGGACACACAACTGACTCGCTACAGAGCAGTTGCCCGAGTCGTCACTGTATCGAACCGCAACAGCAACAAGTAAAACAGTTATAACTGTATCCTTTCATATTCCTTGTACTCTTATATAATCTTGTATCTCTTTGTTTTAATCAACTTACTTTGCCCTCACATACTAGCGCAAGGTGGTTCACAACTCTTCAATTAACACTTCCGCTACTACACCAACTCTACCCAGAGTTCACCCCTGCAAAGATCCTAAGGGCCTTTTCAGCCCAACATGGTATGAGAGCAATCAGGGGGAATTCAACTACTATACCGACAACATCAATCACCATGGCTACACAAAAGGAAAGGAGCAACTCCAACGGCTCCCAGGGCACTACCCCTACTCCACCTCCTGCCTCTGGCCTACAGACAGAGGAGGGCACGACAACAAGACCCAGAGCAACATCTACCGAGACTCCCGCAAATCAACCTGCAGACTTCGACCAGAGCATGATGGAGAAGTTCTTCTCCTTCATGTCCTTCTACGAGCAACACCAGCAATCGGCACCTGCGCAGTCACACAACAGCAACAACAACGGAGCAACACCCATGAGTCTCGACGGCTCATCATATGCACGAGGAAATCAGCAACAGCAGCCCACCTTTGCTCCGTACGAGCGCGGGTCCATCAGCTTCATGCCACACCCACAGCCCTCACCTGGACAAGAAAAACCACTGGACGCATTACAAGTTCAGTCGCAGTTCGCACACGTTCTGAAGATGCAGACGTCAAGACCCTTTGATGGAAAGGACTTCTTCACCTGGTCGTTTGAGTTCGAGCTGATGATGGAAGGCGCGCAGATACTCGGGTTCTTCGACGGGTCTCTGCCATACCCAACAAACGGCACACAGTACGAGAAGCAGCAATACACCTATCAGTCAATGATGGCGTACACGATCCTACTGAGGAATATCACCCCAACTCAACAGCAGAACATAAGGTCTTACCGAGGTTACGGCAACTCCGCGGAGCTCGCGTACAACCACCTGAAGAGCCTGTATCAAGCAACAGACAGCGTAAGCCAAAGTCGGTTAATGGCGCAACTGACAACGGTTGAAATGAAACCAGGGGAGAAAGGAATGGCGTATATCAGCCGATGTCGCGAGTTGCGCGACAAGCTCCTTCGATGCGGAGGATCGATCTCTGAAGACGCCTTCGTGACAGTCATCATCGGCGGCCTCGGTCCTCAATGGCGCGCCACAAAGGCCATTCTCCGAGCTCACGGAAGAATCTCCGAAGCAGCGCTCTGCGCCAAAATCCACGCCGAGCAGCAAGACATGGACCTGCAAGAAGAACGACACAAAAAGAAAACATCAGCACCGGAATTCGCGTTCCACACTCAGCGACGCTACAACAACAACAACAACCGGCAGCAACAACCGAAGCCAGTACCTCCGTTCTGCCACATCTGCAAAACTTCAGGACACCCGCGCACGCACTGCCCGAATCGTCAACAGTCAACAACTCCACAGCGGCAACTTCGACCTTCAAGCAGCCAAATCGCCTCAACGCAAGCAAATCCCACGACTCAGATTCAAGCTTCAACGACCTCAACAGGACAACCTGCACAAGGAGCAAGAAACATCGTCAACTGCATGGCAAAGCTGAGTGACTCCTGCATCACCGAGTCACCACCACACTACTCACCGGAAGAGCAACTCGACGAAACCACACCCCGCCGCGAGTCACTTCAGCCGAACCCGACATACGCCGCCATCGCCCAAAGCGAACCATCCGGAAGGGACACATGGTTCTTGGACAGTTGCTGCGGACAGCACATGTGCTCCTCGGGACGCTTCGTTCAACGAGAACACCAACTTCAACGCGAAGTTGTCATTACAGTCGCCAACAATCAGAACCTGCGAACACGACGACAAGGTGTAGTTCAACTTCAGTCAAGGGAAACAAACGTTATACTGCAGATGTCAGAAGTACTAATCGCGGAGGGACTCGGCTACAACTTACTGAGCGTCTACAACTTACTGAGCGTCAGTCAGCTAATGGCAAAGGGGATTCACCTCGAAGCAGACAGCACCACCCAAGAATTCAAGCTGTATCACGGGAGAGGAGGACTCTACATCGGCAAGGCGGTCCTCAAGAACAACGTCTTCGTTCTTGACTTCGTTCCTGATCTTGGCACCGCCGACAGCGACGCCATCGTTAACTTCACCGACTGGACACACCCTCCAGACCTTGATCCAGACTTCAGTCCAGAAGGCTTCTGGTATTCACACACCATCCCTGAAGCAGAAAGAACAAGGGCGTTAGCAACAATTCAGACAACATCAGCAGCAGCAGAGACAACATCGGCAGCAGCAGAGACAACATCGGCAGCAGCAGAGACAACATCGGCAGCAGCAGAGACAACATCGGCAGTAGCAGAACCATCAACGGCAGCAGCAGGAACGTCAACACCAATTGCTGGTCCTTCAACGACACCGCTCCTCATCGACGACACACCACCGACACCCGCGCAACAACTACACCCAGCACCACGAGAAGTTCATCGTAGCGCCAACTTCACCGCCAACTTCTACTCCAACTCCGATATGTACCGACGATCACCCGGACATCGCGCCGACGAAAGCACCTGGCACGCAAGGATGGGACACCCAAGCAACACAGTATTAAACAATACGATAAGAGCAGGAGTACTCGACAAGGACTCACTTCTACTGACCGACGGACGAGAACTTCAACGAGTACGCGGAACGTGCCTCACCTGCCCTGAGGGTGACGACCGTTTGCGTCTCATCACAACCCGAGCGCACCCGCGTACGCACCACTCGAGAAGGTGTATAGCGACATCCTGTACAATCGGGAACCAGGACAAGTAATATACAACTATACAATCACCTTCATCGACGCCGCCACCCGTTACGTCTGGCACCTAAACCTCCCTAGCCGCGACATGGCATTCGCAGCCTTCGTTGCCTGGCTACCAGTAGCAGAGAGAGAATCGGGCGTGAAGCTGAAAAGCTTCCAGTCAGACGGAGGAGGAGAATACACCTCTCAGCGATTCAAGCAGTACCTGGCGGAAAGGGGAATCAAGCGACTCATCTCCCTTCCCTACGCCCATCAGCAGCAGGGTGTAGCAGAAAGAATGAACAGGACCTTGCAGAACAGCATGCGCAAATTGTTACGTGGCATGCGGCTACCCAACCACCAGTGGCCTGCAGCAATGGAC